AAGAGTAGAGGACTTCCGATACCTTGGAAGTGATCTGGCGGCCGACGGCAGTGTGGACCAGGCAGTAATGGGGAGGATCAACGCGGCATGGATGAAATGGAGGGAGTCCACTGGAATCCTCTGCGACCGAAGGTGCTCCAGAGCGCTCAAAGGGAAGGTGTACCGAACAGTGGTAAGGCCTGCGATGCTCTACGGCAGCGAGTGCTGGCCCCTGAACAAGAATCACGAAAGGCAGCTTCACTCCGCCGAAATGAGGATGCTGAGATGGGCCTGCGGCTGGACGCGACTGGACAGGGTCAGGAACGAGGATGTCAGAGCGGTCATGCAGACTGCCCCTGTCCAGCTGAAAGGTGAGGGAGCAAGCGACTGCGGTGGTATGGACATGTGCTGAGAAGACCGCAAGGCCACCCGATAAGGAATGCGATGGACTTCGAAGTGCAAGGCAAGCGACCGCGAGGAGCCCCAAAGAAGAGGTGGAAGGATGTGATCAAGAAGGACCTAGGTGAAATCACGGCCACTGCAGGAGATGCCCTAGACAGAGCGAAGTGGCGACGACTGACAAAGACAGCGGACCCTGCGACTGCGCGGGACTAACGCTAAGGAAGAAGAAAGAAGAAGAAGAAGAGATATTCTTTGGCTGGCAAGCTCTATGAATCACTCCCGAGGCCGTGAAATACGCAACACTCCTAAACACACCTTTCTTTGGCTCTTTTCTGACTTCAGAGGGCACCACAAAATGAAGTCATCGGGGTTTTAGGCCCCCTAGGGTCTTGCATGCAAAAAATACCTATTTTGACAAGCGCGATACGCTCGGCTTTACAGTCAGCTCCCTTTCTAGGCTTCCTGCAAAGATGAGGGGGAAGAATGCAATAAATGCTAGCTAAGATGTATCTATGCTTGCACAACATCGCCTTTGATGCGACCAACGATGTTGCCGCGGCACCAGAATCCAGTGAAGGCAACCACAGCTCTGAAAGTGTAGGCTATGGTCGGATTGGGTACAAAATTGGCGCTATCGCAATATGAGGGTCATTGCATCTCGAACCGTGCAAAAATCCATTTTTGTGAACGGAGTAAGCCTCAGGCGGCGAGGAGAGACACCAGGTGTGCGAGAGAAATTTTTTATTTTTTTCGAAGCTGTCCTACCCTAAGCTCAGTCCCGCAGTAACCCATATCTTGCGATAGCGCCCAAAATTCTTATTGTTAAAATATTATAGGAGTCTAATTATTATCGTAATAGCAGTCGTACCACTTAAATAAATTACCTTGAATGAATGGCAAGGCGAGAAAGTGGAATGAAAAGAAATCGGGACCCAGGATCATAGCAGTGGGCACGTTCGGCGGAATCATCATCAATTAAGACAGGCGGCTCAATTTTTTATTAGTGACGGGGGTCAAAATTTATCAGCCTGATCTACAAGCTTGATAAAAAGGTTCGCCACCCCTACCAATCTTTGAATATTTCAAACGAAGTTGTCTGAAGCACAGGTATGCACCATTCCCACCCAACCTCGCTTTAAAGCCCAGCACTCTTGGCGATTGTCGAGCTTTTATCGGAAGCGGAAGGGGAAAGGGGTGGGATCACGATGTGATTCCACTGTTCGAGGTTTTCAAATGGGAGTTGTTTGGGGATTCACCGATCCAGAAACTAGTTACGCGACTTTCAAAGGGGAACTTTTCAAGAACAATTTTCTCAACCACTGCGGGACCTGCGTTTTGCGAGTGTTTCTCACTGATTTTGTTATCGTTTTTCTAATTGAGCATCATTACTTTATAAACAATTGTATCAGTGATGGCAAGTGATGCTCCGGCTTCAAAGATAAGTGAAAACAGTTCAGGAGGCTTGAAAAATGGCCAATAAATCAATAGAAGAATGATTTTCGTGGGAAGATAGTGCGCACGCGAAGGTGGCTCACGGAGGTACAGGCTGTGTGGAGTAACACTCGATTCTCAAGCGAGATTCAATAATCGTGCACTCCCTTCGAAACAATTCGTGTGAAAAAGTGAGTGCCTTAAGAAACTACAGCATGTTCATCCAAAAATTTCTCACGTAATCGTAGTCATTCCTTCCACACCAAAAATGTGAAATTTTTGAAAGCTTATGAAATTTTATTTGCTCCTCCGAGAAGTCCACCCCAGATACTACTCACTTACCTGCATTTCAGTCTACTCGAGAAGCATTAACAAGATAAAATTTCTTTGAATCGAATCAGAGCCTGACAAAGGCGAGAAGGCCGAACCATTAGCAGAGTAAATCAAGATCTGTATCATCTTGGCTTGTGGCTTCAGAAGCAAACCTTGAAAGAATACCACTCACGATGCCAAGATTCATTGATCGTCGTGTACTACTGTAATCCTTTTGTTCTTCTCGTTCTTGTCGTGAACGATGGGATCCAAGCCAGAGATCATGGATAAGATAAAATCACGATTTTTCCGAGAAAGATTCCTTTAAGACCCACACAACTAACTGATGTAAATCACGAAGTTTGTTGGCTATTCCTTCATGATGATTCGCTCAACGGTGAAACTCCAGTTTGGGGGGGGGGGGCCCTCAATTTTTTCTCTCACCGACTCCGATAAGCGAGTACGAGGCTCACGGTACTGGACCAGGAGAAAGGACACCTCCGCAAAGGGCTAAGGGTGCAGGAGCTCCAGGGTGGATCACCTGTGCAGAAAAGTGGATGGGATGTGGGCAGGTAGTGTGGAATGTAGGACATCCACCGGTCCTTATCAAAAGTACGCTCGAAATGAGTCGTTCACTTATTATCTTATCCGTAGTGTTCGATAGCCCAAAGAACTGCTCTCTAGTACTACGGATAAGATAGCAATGGAGTGGCCCCCCCGAACTGGAGTTTCACCCTAACTTCTCCTAGTATACACTTACGAAGTTATAC